TGGAGTTGATCCACATCAATATTCTGATCACTTCAGGTCGCTACAACAAACATCAATATTGTGACTTGTCTTAATTCAATATAAACCTGACCAGGTGATGCCACGTAATTCACAACTACTATTAAATATTTTAATGTCACAGATACTATCTAGATCATCAAGTATTTGCTAACTCCTCTATTTAGTTGAAATACAAAAGTCAACATATACAGTCCCATAATCTCTATCTCTCCTCACACTACTGAAATTGTAATCCATGAAATATTCTGGCAGCCGTTGTCCACTAACAAATTACACAAAATGACCATACATACTGACAGAATCTCTCATCGTAATTACCTAAATAACACTGATGTAAAGAAGAAAACGCCACCAAGTATGTTTTCAAGAATAAGAAATTTAAATTTTTAAAAAAAACAATAAACATAATTTTGTGCAATTTTCAACGCATCACTACTTGGACAAATTCAAAAATGAATAAATTAAATAGTTACGTATTTCTGACATTTACATTATAAACAAACAAACATTTTTCAAAATAAATTCACATGGGATATGAATTCATCATATTGAATTATTGAAACAATATACACATAAATAGGAATGAATGAATAAAAATTTTATTGACTAATAAATATTGTAATAAAAGAATAATTAATTAGTCTATAGATCATAAGAAGAAGAAGAAGAAGAAGTATTCCGGGAACAACATACAAACAACCACCAGTTTCACATTCATAATACTTTCAAGATGTATGTTGAATTCATTCAATAGTTCATCTACTCTCTCTCTAATGTTGCTTACATTGTGAAATGATCTATCAATATTAATTAATGACTAGTGTTTGAGTGTGTTGAATTTTGGTCTGAAAACAAAAACGAGAATGCAATTTCGATCATGATGACAGTTGATTAGTGTGTGTGTTTGTTTAGATGATATAACTGTATAGTGGAGTTGAGAACAGCTTGTACAGTTGAAATAGACTGTTATGTGTGAAACAGGATGAATGAAATGCTCGGGAGTATTATTGTGTCCGAAATGATGTTGATAGAATAAATATATAAAACAGAATAGAATAGAATAGTGCTGTGACAATATATTTCATTAAATGTAATTGTTGATGATTGTTGAATAACTCAAAGTGTTTATTTATCTCATCCGAAGATTGTTGTGTCAATGTACTACTATTTCAGTTTATTTATACCTCTATGTCCAGACTCTATAGCTAGTGATTATTCACTAGACTTCTAATTAATAAGAGTGATTTATTGCTTAAAATGATATTTATTGATATTTAACTGTTAAAATATCCTTCTTGTTAAGTGATAGGAATAACCAGTGTGCTCCATATCTTACAGAAATACATACGAGATGTCAATAGGTAATTAGGAAAAAAGTTCCTGAAGTAGAAATCATTATAAAAAGTCAAACCTCTTTATAAGAAAAATGTTTCTACTCCTGATTTCATTTCAGCGTTTCTCTGTGTCTGCAACAGCCTTTTTAAACAATAGATTATTTTATTAAATCACACAGTAAAAAACCTATTCAGTTCCTTTTTCTATAATGTAATATAAAATATACTGTGACATAATAATTTTTCGATCTCACGGTTCAAGATTCATCTTTGACGTTCATCATCTCAATGATACAAAATTTTCTGTTAGCTCAAAGTCATGTTTCTTGTCCTATGGTGTATTTTCACTGAAAATACGTTTCCATTATGTTACAAAACTCTCTTGTTCATTATTAAGCTACAGTGTCATTACACATCAGTTAGCTTTTTAGTAAACGTCTGTAATTACTGTATCCAACGTATGATTGAATGCTCCACCAAATTAATATTAAAATGTAACAGAATCACTCACACATTTGTCTTATTCAATTAGCGTATATATGTTGAACATAAATGTTTGATAAATGTACACTCGTTTGCACCTATACCGTTCACAGTTTGTTCAGGGAATACTGATCACCCATAAAACTCAAAGTTTGTCTATTCTGTTTGCAAATCAATAACTCAAATAACTGCATTAGGATATATTTTGTTCAAATAAACCTTGTTGATAATTGTTAACTAACAGTACATCCAGTGTTTTTGGACTTCTTCTAGATCTCTTCTAACGTTCAACATATAATATCAATATATTTCTGTAAGATATGGAGCACACCGGTTATTCCTATCACTTAACAAGAAGGATATTTTAACAGTTAAATATCAATAAATATCATTTTAAGCAATAAATCACTCTTATTAATTAGAAGTCTAGTGAATAATCACTAGCTATAGAGTCTGGACATAGAGGTATAAATAAACTGAAATAGTAGTACATTGACACAACAATCTTCGGATGAGATAAATAAACACTTTGAGTTATTCAACAATCATCAACAATTACATTTAATGAAATATATTGTCACAGCACTATTCTATTCTATTCTGTTTTATATATTTATTCTATCAACATCATTTCGGACACAATAATACTCCCGAGCATTTCATTCATCCTGTTTCACACATAACAGTCTATTTCAACTGTACAAGCTGTTCTCAACTCCACTATACAGTTATATCATCTAAACAAACACACACACTAATCAACTGTCATCATGATCGAAATTGCATTCTCGTTTTTGTTTTCAGACCAAAATTCAACACACTCAAACACTAGTCATTAATTAATATTGATAGATCATTTCACAATGTAAGCAACATTAGAGAGAGAGTAGATGAACTATTGAATGAATTCAACATACATCTTGAAAGTATTATGAATGTGAAACTGGTGGTTGTTTGTATGTTGTTCCCGGAATACTTCTTCTTCTTCTTCTTCTTATGATCTATAGACTAATTAATTATTCTTTTATTACAATATTTATTAGTCAATAAAATTTTTATTCATTCATTCCTATTTATGTGTATATTGTTTCAATAATTCAATATGATGAATTCATATCCCATGTGAATTTATTTTGAAAAATGTTTGTTTGTTTATAATGTAAATGTCAGAAATACGTAACTATTTAATTTATTCATTTTTGAATTTGTCCAAGTAGTGATGCGTTGAAAATTGCACAAAATTATGTTTATTGTTTTTTTTTAAAATTTAAATTTCTTATTCTTGAAAACATACTTGGTGGCGTTTTCTTCTTTACATCAGTGTTATTTAGGTAATTACGATGAGAGATTCTGTCAGTATGTATGGTCATTTTGTGTAATTTGTTAGTGGACAACGGCTGCCAGAATATTTCATGGATTACAATTTCAGTAGTGTGAGGAGAGATAGAGATTATGGGACTGTATATGTTGACTTTTGTATTTCAACTAAATAGAGGAGTTAGCAAATACTTGATGATCTAGATAGTATCTGTGACATTAGAATATTTAATAGTAGTTGTGAATTACGTGGCATCACCTGGTCAGGTTTATATTGAATTAAGACAAGTCACAATATTGATGTTTGTTGTAGCGACCTGAAGTGATCAGAATATTGATGTGGATCAACTCCAATATGAGGATAATATGTGTTGTGATGGTAAGACTGAAATGTGAAATTTAACAAAATTCTTGCCTAATAAAATATTGTGTGAAAATTAATATTGTGGAACTCACTGGTGCCAATTCGATGGTTTATTAGTGGGTATAAATCATCGTCAGTTGTGATATTTGAGATGGACAATCAATTTGTGTACAGATCTCAATCAGTTTGTGAATTTTAAGTACAATCGAGGTCGATTAATCTCGATATTTTGATTGCAATCATGTTGGATGAAATTGTAATGATACAGGGAGATTTTATTGTATCACTACACTAGATGATTGTTTACGAATAATCATGTTATGGTAAGTAGATGTTGAGAATTATTTCAGTCAATCACTCAGTTTGTGAAGTTGTTCAATTTCGATTAGAAATAACTTGTCTACTAATGTATTCTGTTCGAATTCATTTTCATTTTTTAGGCCTTCAACATGCCCTGGTATGGCCGAGAGTGGAGAGAGTTCGCTCTCCCTCTCGAAATGCTCCTATATCACCACGCCTATACAGCCTCTGACAGGGAAGTCGTACTCACGGCCTTCTCGTGAGTTGGAAAACACTGATTCCAAACCAATGGTGCGCATGGGCTCTTAGGATCCTGATGGATTGAATGGCGTATGAACCAACTGTTGGTCAACGGCTACCATGGGACTGCATCTCCTCACGATGCTCCACTGCATTGTGGATCAGACCTTTAGGTCAAAAGCTCGGGGTGTGGCCCCTTAAGAAAACCACCTGCTTCAGTTTGGGTACTTGAGCAGTATCACATAACTCACACAAATCAAATGAGATTTTTGCGGCGCATATGTATCTGGTACCCCCTTGTACCAATATTTATGTGTATAAATAAATAAATAAAACTCACCTTTCAGTTAAAGACAGACTTCTTTAACTATTAATCTACCTATTCATTTTAAATTGAAAATAATCGACAACACTGAATTACATTAGTATCTGCTGTTTGTGAATACTTCATTGTTTGAAAATAATTTACAATGACAATGTTCAATTGATGTTAGTTGTTGTGTTCCACGGATCAATAAGCTAGAAATATGGACCATCGAATAGGTTGACAAGTGGTGTTGAGATGACCCATTAACAGATCTGAAATTACTATTAACGATCTTCGTTGGAGTCGTGGATGAGCACTGTCGAGGTGTTCCATACTAGGTCGAAACGTTTATTTCTCAGTGTTTGCAATCCAATGTATCTTCCAACACAATAAAAATTGAGGAGGTTCTTTTAAATCGTAGTGAAAGTCTGTCATAATGTGAGTTTCAAGAAGTATACTATGTGAGCTATGATTAGTAAGCACACTATCAGTATTATGACTTAATATTAGATTCCTGCTGAAGACTTTAATTTCCATTCATTTTGATGATCAAAAATCAAATGATTATTCCGCACTTTACCACTGTGAAAACGCATTTGGTTTCGAGAGTCGTTCGCATTATTTAATATTACCCATGAAAATAACAATATGAATAAAAGTTGTTTCATAGTGATTTACAACTTCTAAGCATTACATCATAAACTCCCTCTGGGATTAATACGAAACCAATAAACCTCAAGTCCTCAGGATACGAAAATTACCATTCAACTGTCATATGTCATGAAGAATCTCAAAATTTATCACTTGATACAGCCTAAAATTATAAGTCGATTATATTCTGAATAAAGGCTGGTAGAATATTACAAGACTGGTTAGTGGATTGTACTTCAGCGTTTAAAGCGATACAAACATCGCTGACGATCAACACTACAATGATTAAACATGGATTCTGTGTATTTTATCGCAATATATTTCGTAAACAAACAATTAAAAAATTTCAACAATTACACAATTACAGCAGTGCATTGAAACCAACTTGTATCCAAAGTTACATAACAGTTCACACATTCAACGTATCCTGAAAACTACTCTATGTACAAAGAACTAATAAACATCAAAGCAAAATTCCTATATGAACAATAAATGCACATCTAATTTGAATTTTTTTAAAAGAACTCGTATTTACATCGCAAGGTTGAGGGAGATCAACTTTATGCACTAATCAATAAAAGTACAATTATATAAATCAACAACAACAAAAATAGTTGATCATAAAAACAAAACAAAACTTTGGAGAGAATCTCATGACCACTAACGATGATAATAACAGTAATCAGCGAATTTGTACACAAACAAATAAATGACAGCATTAGTTACACTTGACTTCTTTATTATTCTGTGGTGATTTAACTGGTGGATCCCATTTTAATCGACTGATATCCAGTACAAAAGAGTGTTTATGCATTAATTTACGATTTTTCCGTTGTTCTTTACCATCTGTAGGAAAGGCTTTCGTTGAATGTTCATTATTTAATTGATTCAAATATTGTTGTATAGTATCACGATGTAGACAGATCTGATGATCGTGTTGCCAATTATTAATAACTGGATGATATTGTAATGTCCAAATAATATCATCAATTGCAATACATGTTTTTGTACTAAAATGTAAAAGGAAAGTTTCAAATAAGAAATGATAGGGAATGTTTAGATAAAGAAAATTTGGTTCATTTTCATTAGTGCTGGTGGATAGGATAAATCAAGAATATGGAGGAATCTTCTTCTGTGAATACTATCCAAAACCCATTCTTTCATCAGTGAACGTCCTGTAGTCTTGGTTATTTGGAATATTACACCCTAGCTTGCCTATCATTTGGGTCAAGTGAGTGTTTAGTATCAATTAAAAAATAAAAAACAAGTGAATGTAACGGACAAAATGTACTACCTATTTATTCGGGCAATATACAACTAGTCTTAAACATTTGTATGCTTACCTTAATTCATTCATTGTACAATAAGGATTTTCTAATAGAAAATTCAGTATCACCTTTTCCCAATAACTACGATAACTTAAACGACCTAAATCGGAGAGAGGTTTTTCTGGTGTACCAACAATTTGTTCAATTTTAGCTAATTCATAACCTGAACAAAGAAAATAACAAAAACAATAGCAATGCAAATAGATATGATTAAATTAAGTGAATAAAATTGTATACAACTTAGCTGCTACCCTGACGTGGTGATCAGGCTTGCTGAATATGATAACTCAACTGAGCTATATTGACTGGAACACATGCTCCTTTAGGTCCTACCATCCCAGACAGGTCAGTTGAAGAATGTTCGGAATAAAAGCAGCAACTAAAGGTTCGAGGGTGAAATCATATTCTTTACTGTAAAGCGGTGTGACAACAGTTAAGTGTTTTTCTCGGATAATCAGCATCTGCAGCGAAGTGAAAGTCGCCCTCATACCTCTAAGAGCAGCAGAGATCATCATATTCACGAACAAATTTCTACAACCAATCCCGCTCGTATATCGTCAACGCGCCACCAATGCTAATGATTTGAGTTCACGAAATATTATTTTTGGTATTCGAAAACCACACTCTAAACTACATTTAGGAGCTTTGAATGGCCGAACCTTATATAACATAGGATAACAAGCTTCTTAAGCTAAGAATCTAAAATCTCGTGTCATCAATGTGTTTTGTCTTCGGAACGCGCATAGAGGACCTAAATATTGTCATTTACTAGACCTCAACTTGCTAATCCTAATAAGTGAGACCATTTACCCTTCGTGTATCTGGAGGCCTCACTTTTCATTCCTGTGACCCGTTGGTATATGTATAGCCCTAAGTTTGGAGACTTAACAGGCTCTCCTAGACTGCATGCTAATAGACAGTCTTTTTTGCGCTGTCCGACTGAACGGGACAGTAAGCAATCAAAAAGATAGGGACATGCGCTGTTGTCATTTCATTGTCTCTGCCTACGCTCACACTGACTCAGATAAAGTTAGAGATGAATTTTATAGGAAGCTATCCAACCTGCTTCAAAAAACCAAACACTGATGTAGTAGTTATGGACGATGATTTTAATGTTAAAGTAGGCAAACTAAACCAAACTGAAAGGCACTTGGAGGGATCTTAGTGTTTTGGCTAAGCAAACAAATAATCACGATCATCTGTTGCAACTACACTCAGATAACCGACTATTTCTAGCAACCATAAACTTCGAATACAAGGAGAAACATAGTCTGACGTGGCAACCCCCACAATTGACTGATCAATGAACTCAAATGGGTCACATTGCTATTAGTCATCGTTAGAAGGGCTAGGCAGAAGACTGTCGCTAATTCTACAGCACATGATTAGACTTAGAGGCGATCCCCAATGGAATCTTGGTTGTGCACACAGTCTAGTAACTCTAGTCGGTGAAGTTTAATAACCTCACCAATTTATATTTCTTACCTAAAACTTTGTGTTTAAAAACTATCAAACAAACAAACAGTGTAAAGCATCAATATATAGTTTCAAAGAGTTTGCTACATTTAAAGTATATGTGCTGTTTTACAAACTAACGATGAAGAGTTGAATGTGAATATTATGGATTGAAAATTTTAATATTGTATAGTTCTGACAAAAAAATACTGCAGAAACCATTTATAATTTGTAAAAAAGGTATGCATATTATCGAGTCAGATGACTTTAAACAATGGAAAGACGGTAAATATAGTTTCAAGTACTTATTACCCACTCATTATCACTAGTATTTCCTGTCTAAAAGTGTCATTGTAAAAAAGTGGGTTGGTATCAAGGATATATATGGGCGCAAACAACCAAATACATAGACAATGAACGAACTAGTACAAATATCTATCGGTCTAAATTGTCACGAGTTATGCCGGTACATAGACAGAAAATCGACAAGTAAAGCTGGAAAACGAAAAACATCGGTACAATAAAAAAGTAAAAAGCCATAAGAAAAGAAACATTGGATGAATGAAGTCAAAGAATGCAAAGTAAAGCATAGAGTTTTGGTCAAAAAATAAATACAAATGTATTACCACTGTCACAGATTTCAGGTCATAGGTAGGTCCAGACTTCTTGAGTGGGATGCTGCACGATTCTTGGGATCAATGGTTGAAGACGTTGAGTGAGATGGCTCACGATTTGTCCAAATAACATAAATCTAATCAGTCTTTTTAGATCTCCAGCTTAAAATTTTTCTATTGTTAAGTGAATTTATTATTTTTTCTCAAATCGAATTTTCCACGTCTAATATCTTCTTTATCATCATTGATACTGTTAATATTTCTAACACTTTTGACATTTATCTTGATAATTGCATTTCAATATGGTGACATAGTATGGTGAATTGAACTGATGCACAAGTGGCGGGTTCTACATTACTTATAACTGAATGACTAACTTATAATACATAATACTAGGTTATGACAATATTTCACCTGGACATCCAATCACAATTCAGTTCAATAATTAATTATTCCATTCATTTATGAAATGCCTTGATTTTTAACCTCCTCTACGCACATACACATTTTAGTATTTTTGCAACTTAACCTTTATTTAAGCTACCAAAGGAAAATCAGTGAAAATAGGCTGCAACTAGACATAATTCATTCAAAATTACACCCATCGAATATTTTCACAAGTGAACTCATTTAATTATTCTAAAAAAAAGTGAAGCATAACAATCACAATGTATAAATATAAGAGAAACTCACTAAGACTAATTAAGAAATGACCATATCCACGACGTTGAAATGGTGGTAAAGTTAAAATACATGCAAGATTATAATTATCAGCAGATACTTTTTCCTGGAAAAAAAAAATTGGAAAAAGAAAATATTTTAGGAAGAAAAAACGAGGTAGGATTTGATTAATATTTCAACGTACAGAGAAGAAATTGGTTGATCGATAGGTAACATATTTTCTTATTTTTGGTGTCCCACTGAATGCTCTTAAGGCACGACATATAAATATTATATTATCAACTCATTTGCCAGGTACAAATTCATGTACTTGGCTTTGAATCGCACTTTAAGTGTGAGGAGCTTTTAAGTATGCATCTTAGTGGATAAACATTGAACTACTGAGTCACCGCTCCAAACATAACTACTAAAATGGACAACAATTGATGACTATCAAATACTTGAATTTTACCACTTAACTTTAGTGAAATCACAAAATAAATGTACATTCATCATAAATGAAACAAACAGTGTCATAGAAATCGGGTGCTAAGTACATGACACACATCAGATGAACAAATTATATTTGAACTAATCTCAGTAATTGAAATTTAAATAATTACAACGTTTCACCCAAGAAATGGATCTGAACTTCAGTGAAATAATCAAAATCAGAACTAACAGAGAATAAGGCTAAAAGTAAGTGTACACTAAACATTTGGCCTGTTATGTTCAAATGTTCATTTTACGAATACTATTCACTCAAAATCCATTAAGACATTGTACATAGGTTCTCTCAGTAATATTCTTAAAGCTGTGACGGCTATTTTGACTAACGAAACAGCATTGTTAAGTAAATTGACCGCTGAAAATCTAGGAAAAACATTTTGGTGTAAACAATGTAGACTAGTTGCATAGTGATTGAGCCAATTATCATTTTTATTTGATAATTTCGATTTTGATCAGTTCCTTGAAGTTCGGATCAGTTTCTTGGGTGAAACAATAGAATTTCAGTTGATAGGATCATTACAAATATAAATTCTACATCGAAAATTAAGTTCGGTTAAGTAAGACGTGTGAAACTACACTTAAAGCTTACCCTTGAATCCGATGTTGAATAGTATGTCAATCCAAGAGCAATCATAGAAAATAGTGTGCATAGCTAACTTACAAAGGCCTTCAGAATGACCTTCACGAGTCTCAATATTTATTCCATAAGACAGCAAAAACGTGGTTGTAGTTCTTAGATTGACGATTTTTCAAAATCAATACACAATTAACTAATCAAGGTACAATCTTTGTCTTTCTATTGGTAAATGTACAATATATTATTCTAATCATAATTTTTTTACGATCTACTTCTCTACTTTTTAGGAAAAATTCATTTTTTATGGTCCATTTTATATTTCTGAAGATACTTGTGTCACCGAGAACTTATAAACAAAATAATGGAGAAATAAAGGATAAATGTATTGCTATAGTTTCTGACTTTACAATATAGGGTATTTACAAATCTAAAACATCAAACACACACAATTTTCACGTATTGTGATTACAAAACATATATAGACTATTAGGTAAAAATTCGTTTGTCTACATTTTCAAATCTAGTTAACTTTGATGATATGATGAGATTACTATTTACTGTTAGCAGATTGCTAATACCTCACTCTGAACACCAAGTCGTAACTGTTACCTTGACGTGGTGGTCGGGCTTTCCCATTGTGATAACCGCATCAAGCTATATTGACTACAACAATTTTTTATTCATATCTTATCATCCCGAGACAGTTGGTTGGAGGGCGATAAGATTAAAAGAAACGAAACTTACGATCCAAGGGTGAAACAGTAGTGCTGATTATACAAGGATGTCCCCCTTTTGAAAAAATTTTCGTCCCATTTTCCAATATTTTTCAATCCGTTTCGCCCAATGAAATCCATAGTCTTAAATGCGTTATAATTGATTATTTATTTCTTAAAATTTGTATAAAAATTTTGCACTTGTCGATAGAGAACATTTTCTTCACAATACAGATGATAGTAACGTGCAAAGTACAGGCTATATTGTTCCTCACGTTGTCACAGAAACAAATAATGTATTTTTGAATACGTTGTATCTGTTAGCGTTCCCATTACTTGAAGCGTTAAAAAACACCATTAGAACTTATGAAAGAACAAAGTACTGACATTATGCGGCTAGAGATTCTCATTTCCATAGAGATTGGAAGCCGTATATTACATTTGTGTGTTGGAGAAATGGCTATAGAACATCTAGTGGTTCCTCACAGCCAACTAGACGGAGGTAAATTGATTAGTGTTAATATATTTTCCATGAACGACTTTTATCCACACTCAATGTCCGGCCTTCATCTTATTGAAGGTTATTGGACTGTTGTTCGTGGGAATGTGCATTAACCGTTTCTGTGACAACGTGAGGAACAATATAGCCTGTACTTTGCACGTTACTATCATCTATATTGTGAAGAAAATTATCTCTATCGACAAGTACAGAACTTTTATACAAATTTTAAGAAATAAATAACCAATTACAACGCATTTAAAACTAGGAATTTCATTGGACGAGACAGCTTGAAAAAAATTGGAAAATGGGATGAAAATTTTTTCAAAAGGGGGATAAAGAAAATTTTAATTAAAAATAATACAAAAATGGATTCCACTGCTAGTCACTATCCATATTGCTTATAAAGCTTGTGACTTCAGGCAATATCGAGGCAGTCGGCATAGGATGAACATATACCAACAAGAGACTAATCAATTGCAGTCCAAAATGACAATGGGAAGATACAAGTAAACAACAAGTGAAAATGCCGTCAGTTGAATGTTATTTGATTACAGACATTTAAATTGGTAAACAGAGTGGGATATGACACAATCGTTTTCCTGTCTTTTAGGTTTTGGATGAAGCATGGACTTCGGGCTTTCTTTGATAATAACCTTTGCTGCACAATACGTTTTGTTGATGACTGATTTAAGCCGTTGTTTCAATAAAAGGCTATTTGAATCACCTCCAAATGGTAAGGTGATGAAGACAGGTTTTTTTCCACCGAGTTTTATTTATTTATTTATTTAAAAACATAAACATTGGTACAAAGAGGCGCCAGATACATATGCGCCACACAAATCTTATTTGATTTGTGTGAGGGCTGTGATACTGTCCGGGTGCCCAAACCGAAGCAGGTGGTTTTCTTAGAGGGCCACACCCCAAGCCTTCGACCAAAAGGTCTGATCCACAAGGCAGTGGAGCATCGTGAGGAGATGCAGTCCCATAGTAGCCGTTGACCAATGACAGGTTTGTCCGCCATTCGTTCCATCAGGATACTGGAGCCCATGTGCACCATTGGTTTGGAATCAGGGTTTTCCAACTCCCCTAGGTGGACTCTCCGTGTCCACCAACCCGGTTAAAGCGCCGGACATTCGCTTTTCGTCCTCTCACTTTCGTTAACAACACCCCCGCCACGAGAAGGCAGTGAGTAGGACTTCCCTGGCAGAAGCTATATATTCGCTGGCAATGTGAGAGCATTTCGAGAGGGAGAATAGACTCTCCCCACTCTCGGCCTTACCAGGGCATTTGGAGGCCTTAACCAGTATATGTGTGATCAGACTGTTCGAAATGTGTTGCGCGAATATATCACATAGTTCTGATAATCTTCGTCTTCTTATTACTCTATCAGAATTTATCAAAGGGACTAAATACTTTAAATCACTGTTTCTTATCATCTTCAGAATTATGGACATGTCTTTTTACAAATGAAATTTGTTTATAACAAGTACAAACCCAGATACTTAACATTGGAGCCACAATTCAGTTTTGAAGATTAATGATGCTCTATTTAACTCTTGAGACTGAAACCAGTTGACCAAAGTACTAGCCCGTACCTCAATTCACCAAGTCAACTTACTCCATGATCAATATGTTTTATATTTAAAACGTCAACCCGTGGGTTGATGTCATTTATCATGAAGAATAAAAACGAAAAGATGAATACAAATTACCTTGGAAAAATAACCAACAAGATGTACTCCATCATTGTCAATCTCACATAGAACATAGAATATAAACGGTGAGACATTATAATATAATGTTTTATGATCTAAAAACAATTTGGCCAACAGACATAGATTTTGACAGTAAAGCTGTAAAAACAAAAAATAATAAAAGCGAAAAAGGATAACGTCATTTCTTTTTTAACAGTGAAGATTTAAAAGAATTTTTAACTTCATAAGATTCGAGATCAACTGAAGAGGAAACCAAACAAGTATTCATATTGTAACGTATGAGAGGCACTATTTGGTTCCGAAAGCCAGTAGAGTATCCGTTTAGCATCGAAGGTGCAACCACAAGATCAAGTGATGAGTAATGTCAGGTAAGACAAAACACAAGACTTATCTGTAAAGATGGTACTACCACTGTAAAATAACATGAAATATAATACAAATCTAAACTTGTTAGGCATCTACGGCGTTTGCCGAGTTCGTGTACAATCAGAAGACAGCGCCTCCTAAAATGGATATATGGTTATGTATCTTAATTTCCGTAGTCATTGTCCAACTTATTACAAACGCGGATTAATAAAGGGTTTATTCAATAGGATCAATCATATTTGTACTAGTGATACTATTGAAGGAGACACGAAGCTCTTAACTGGAACATTAATAAACAACCGTTATTCATTCAAGTTTACAAACCGTTGAAAGGTTCCAATACGATGAGACCCATGACGCTTCTGGCACCCAAAAAGCGAGTTTATATTATGTTACCATTTTGAGGCGACTCAAATAGTCTCATGTTGAAAAAGAGACTTAAATTATTTATTTATTATTTTTTATCAAATGAAATTTCTTAACAAGTATACATGTGATCAGATTGTTCGAAATATATTGTGCAAATATATCGCATAATCCTGATAACCATCGTCTTCTCATTGAGTTATCGAAAATTATCAAACGGAATTATTGTTTTAAATTAGAATTCCTATTCATTAAGTCAGAGAAAATATGGTCACTTTAAAACTCGTTCGAGACGCGGATGGGATACCGAAAGTTTTCTAAGAAGTAAAAGTCATTTGAAATAAATTTGAAATAAATTTCCTTTAATACAACTCCAAAAGTATATTAGACCGACGTCTTCATACACACGTGAGACACCACACTGATATTGTGGTGTGGGTTACTTATATCCACACAAGTAGTACATAACGATGTCAGGCATTGAATGTATTTCAGTAGAAGATTGATAAGGAAAGAACTGGAACGGAAGCAATTGATATGAAAATTCATGAACAATGAAATCATAGAAGATGGACTGATATTTGCAGAAGGAACGGACAAGATTGAGACAACTGATTGGTAATTAGCAAATTAACTGTTTACTGTATGGTTGTCAGATTTTAGTGAGATATTCTGTAATTTTGTGCTCAAATACATTCGATTTTCTCCACCCGTGCTCTTGTTCACTACAATATCATGATTCAATTAGTGGTAAAATAGTTACATCAACTTTTTATAGATGAAACTTTATCCAGTTTAGAGATCGAATTCTTGATATGATATCGCCAATGTAATGATTTATAAATTAATGATAAATAGTATTGCAGATAATAGCATCAACATTAAAGATTTGGTTGATCCAACGTGACTAAAGATATGATTAGTTATATCTGAAGAAAAACTTACAATCATATAGAGATAAAATGGATGATGAAATTACTAAGAAACTAGTTAACTAAATTAGGTTTTAACAGAACTTTCAGATAGTTATCTTTAGATAGAAAAATTCATTCACTGGTTCAAGACGCGACCTTATTGATAATAACTCTTATAGAATCCATTGTTCACTACTGGAAGAGTAATGTTGAAGTTAGACATATTTTCAACACACTCACCCGTAGATCTCGCCTACATATTTATGCTTAGATAGTTACAATCCTTGGGTTAACTAAAGTGTTTAAAACCAATCAATTACTTCATAAAAGCGATATAACCAACCATCATAATGAGACATTTGAAAGAGATACTCTGTTCTACAAAAATATAAGAACTGCCATAAACGCTATGGATGTGGCATGTTCTGGAGCGTATTTGAAGCTAGTAACAACTGTCGAATTCTCAACAAATACAATGGATAGATAGATTCAAAACCTGGATGAAAGTTGGTATGCAAGTTCATATAGCTTCGAAGCAGTCCTTGTGTATAGTGAAACAACCAAACAAAAAACGCCGAGATTAAGTGTAATTTATGTATGACTTACAAATGGCAGACACTGCCTTAGCTAATGGAAATCGGGGTATAGTAGCATAAATCGTAACCAACTGAAAACAATAAAACCACCGTTTTATCAACAATAACGAGACAAAACGTATACCTTTTGTACATTGCCATCTAATTCGAAGACGCATAGATTTTCATGATTATATATTTCTTTACCAGGAGGTCGTTTTGCTTCACAATCATATTTTATATGATTTAACCATGTTTCTGAATGCTTCATATATTTTAAACAATATTCACATATCCATAACTTCTTCACCTGTCTAAATTCTTCCGGATACGGTGAAAAATACCATGTATCAATTTCATACTTGCCAAATTGTATCTGATCAATAAATTTTACTCGAGTGAACTGACAAGTAAAGTTTAAATACAGAATAACTAAAATGAGGAATAAAAATGTTACATGGACGTGATACAAGTTAAAACAGTATAACTGAGCAATCAGCTGATAGGTTCAACTCTTTATCACCAATACTAACATAACTCTCACTTATGCAGATTTCTTTGAAATAGTTGATCAGCATGGAAGCCGCATTTTGCAGTGTCTCGCAATAAATTGCGAACTACTATGGGGTCTATTCACTTATCGAATGATAGATAGATTTTACCTGAAGCATCTGAGGTACAGACGGACAAACACAGAATGGACTTTAAGTGTAGGTGACGAGATCCAACCAAACAATAACTCGCAATGGGAATAATGTTTTTAAGATGTGTTATGCAGTTAACATGATAGACTACTCCACTTAGTATAGTCAAACTAAGTATTGATCAAGACCAGTTCTTAAGTGAAATACTTCATTCAGTGGTAAAGAAAAGTATATTAAAGCCTGTCAACCAACTATAATTAACATATAGGCAATAAAGATTCTATTCCAAAAACAAACAAAGGGCGAATATCAAACTCACATTTTCACGGTCAAATCAGAAAACTTATTTTATTTATTTAAACACAAACATTGTTACGAGGAAGCACCACACAGATATGCACCACATGAATCATTCGATTTGTGTGAGGGCTGGAATACTGCCGGGGCGCCAAAACCGAAGTAGGTGGTTTTTTAGGGGGCCAAACCCCGAGCCTTTGACCTAAAGGTCTAATCCACAAGGCAGTAGAGCAACGTAAGGAGATGCAGTTCCATAGGAGCCAGTGGCCAACAATAGGTTGATACGACATTTGTTCCCTTAAGACTCTGGAGCTCATGTGCACCATTGGTTTAGAATCAGGGTTTTCCCCACATCTCCTAGGTGAATCCTCCATATCCACCAACTCGTTTAAAGTCCCCGATGTTCGCCTTTCGTCTTCTCAATTTCGTAAACAACACACTTGCCTCGATAAGGCAATGAGTAGGACTTCCCTGGTAGTAGCTGTGTGTACGTGGCCATGTGAGATCATTTAGATAGGAAGAACTGACGCTCCCCACCCTCGGCCGTACCAGGGAATAAAATAGACAAGAACTAATGAGGTTGGATATTTAGAGCTAATACTTTAGGCACTATATTAACTAACACAATTCCTCTATGTCCATCACAGAAGAACTTTCACCATTTCATTTAGACTGAGACGACCAGAAACTGTGATCATTCTAGATTTCAAGGGATTACTCTACACCGAAACATAGGGTCAACACCTGGAATCTACCTATGTTTTGCAGCCTCATCAAGTTATGTGTCAAGTACATAGAGAAGTGCAGAATAGACTACTTCTAAGTAAACTTATTGATAATGTAAGGAACCCATGATAATTTGCCTTTAAAGGTCAAGAAGACATTAAAGAATTTTGAAGAGGAAACTTTCAGTTACGTGATAGTCACCAGTTGCTTACATCATGAAAACTGACTTTTTGCCTAAAGTGTCTAAAAGAACAATTGAATGACATCAGATTGCGGATGATTACATACAGCCTTTTACATGATCATCTGCAAGTTCTATCTGCTCCACATCTGGAACTATCAAACTAAGTTAGCTGGAAAAAATAAAGCGATAAAGAAAAGACAATTCATTTGGCAGTTGCAGATTAGTGTACTTAACTTCAAGTCACACTCTAAGTGTGAGGGCTAGTGATAGTAACCAAACCAAAGTGCGTGGGACAGGATTCGAATTAATAGCTTTATGGCTGAAAATTAAACGCATTGACGTCTAACCTACCATTTCATTCTAGAAAGAACTAGTTAGAGTAAACATTATTAGTCTAGAATGTAACAACACTAATTTAATGAATTTTACATTATTATTTTCCACATGTCACAAATCTATTACTAGGATCATTTTTAGTATAGCTATTCTCACAGAATAAAACGTAAACAACAGTATTTTGTAGTAAAAACTCATTGTGAAAGAAGCAAACCCAATGACGAAATTGAAGCTCGATCATCAAAGTTATGCTAATTAACTTTTTTTAAAACACTCTTACTTCTTGATATTCAAGCTCCAATTTCTGCGTAGTAGAGTCTAAAGAGTCACTTTCCTGTGAATAATAAAAAATATAAATGATAACAACCAAACCAAAAAGCATGTGACAATAAACACATTAAATGAAGAAAATAACACGACAAAAGAAAGAAATCCCATGCACAACAAGCATACAAAACATCTGTGGAGTGAAAATTGAATCATTTCTTTGATCATTCAATCATAATCAACTGACAGTCTAACACAAATGTGAGCTGGAAGAATTTAACACACTGTATCATCAAGATAGGAATGAACTAACAACATGAATAAGAACGGGGTAGAAATGATGTAACAACAACTATGAAAATAAACACTGAGAATATGATACAAGGAAGTATGTGTGAAGGGATAGCGGAACTAAAGACCTAGAGCAAGGCATTAAGCGAATGTACTTTTGGCATGGTGACTGATCCTGAGGCATGTCATTGAACCTAAACTCCAGATTGCGGATGCCACAAAGGTAATATCTACAAATACCATTTAGGTCAACAGCTATTATTTTTGTGGACTGATGCCACGTTTTGATTTACCCGTCACTAGCTTTCTTCCAACCTACTGCTAGGTCGGCTAGAAACGACCGTTAAGGTAGGAGGCGGTCGATAATATGTAACACGAGTCCCAACCACCTCAGTCGATAAAGATTCACAACCTCACTAACCGAGTTGTCATCTTTCCCTCGTACGCTATGGTTAACCTCATTCTTTACTTGATTGTTATGTACGCTAATAATTTTCTACTTACTTGAAGAACTTTGGAAGTTTCTTCTAACTTGCGTTTCTGATTTCTGGTGAGTCGGACATCATGCCCAGCAGAATCCGTTAACTGGTTAAGAGACAACTCGCATGAAATTGTAAGCTTTTCAGAACAGTCAATTCGTTCAGATGTAACCCATTCATCCAATCTACGGTCGTCTGGATAAATGTAACAGTTGAACAAGTAAAGCAACATACGATTGCAATAATGAACATAATATTCCTTATTCCCGTTACCATCTATACGACCTTCAATTACGGCAGCAGGATCTATTTGTCAAAATGAAATAAGCTTTAAAATAGTATGGACATTACAGTATTGACCAGAAGATCGTAAAACTTTATAGACTTCTCCAATTTGTATATCTGGATCAAGTGTAGACACTTTTACATCCGTATCATTAGTCAGATTATGAACCATCCTTTTTTACCTAAAACGTTGAAACCCAATAGACTTAGCTACATAAATACTTTTGTCTAAAAACAAATATTTTAATTAGAGAAGTAATATGACGAAAGATGTGTATTTATGAACAAAGTGGTAGCTTTGACTAAAACGTTCCAAACTAAAGCCAACATGAGCATTCTACAACAAAAGAATAGTATTTTCCGCTTTGCGCGATCGAGGTACAAGAGTCGGCTAAACATGTTTTTTTCGAAACAATATTTACTCACGCATACCAGTATTAATTTACTTATTTGCCTTCACATACATAAATTGATGATAATGAACAAAATAAACAGTTAATTTAGCGCTGAAAAGTACTTATCATTTTTTGCATTGACTTAAAAAGAGATATTACTTGATGATAAGCACTGTATTGTCAGATATAATCATGTTATTAGACAACGTTTACATCCTACATCTAAGACGTACCGTATGTATTTTGTTAACATCTACAAATTATCTAGAATTTAACTATAAGTGGTCGAGTGAATGTTTTTAGAAGCTCATACTTTTTATGGATAGAAGCGACGTAAAACCCAGTAATCAAGTCAGCCCAACTGATCAATCGGCATAAATATACAATAAAATAAGTGGAAACATAGCACTTGGCGAAATGTATCAACATCTGACTAGTATTTTGACTCCTTTATGTTAGAAAAAAGAACAGGTGTTTCATCAAAGTGAGAAATTCCCATAACATGATGTATTTATATATAAGTTGAACTAGTTAGTTACTGAGAAACTATGATCTAATTCCGTCTTAATAACTTTGTACTACGGTTATCACTTACAACGCAAACAGGAAGCTTGCAATCATTTACACTTGAATATTTGATGAGACTTTGACTTGACTAGTGCTAACGATCCAAGCACAAACAAATCAGTGAAGTAAAAAGATTATGAGGAATGTAGAAACTTGAAATTTGAAAAGACGAAGAGTGGATGGACTCGTACCGTTGCAAACGTTTTGTACCATGTCATTCAAAGTCTCTGATCGTTAGTTACAATATTCACGTGGACCTGTTAAAATGGCGTGATTCAATAGCTAACTGTTCATGGATTGGTGTCACGTCTTAATTTGACCGCGTGGCTTTCCTCCAATCTAATCTTGCAACAGACACTATTTCCCGTCGAAGTGGGCGGTGGTTGAGAATACGTTACACATGTCCTAACCATTTCGGTTGATGAAGATTTACTAGCGTACCACTTGATTTGTCATATTTACCCAGTACATTATCCTTAGCACATGTAATGCTTACTCAGTAGTCCCAAAATACACAAGCAATGCTTCGAAAACACCTATAATCAAATGCTAATAGCGTACGAATATCTTCTATTCTGAATAGTCATTATTTACACTTATAAAGTAGAACGCAACGGACTGACGTGTAGTAAACACGTTTGGTTGGCAGATGGATGTCACCTACACTACTAGTGATGCGAGTTGACAAAACCCGATCGATGAATCTAGAGATTTAGTCAGACACCAGACCATCCGGACTGATGGGGAACCCAAGATAAATGAGGCGAGCGATACGTTCGATCACTTCGTTCCCTATTACTTATACAGGCCCTAGGGCAAGTCAATCCTGAAGTGACATGTTGCATTTAGGGGGAGAGAGTCGCATCTCAAACTTTCTTGTTTTGTAAACAAAGGTGGTCAGAAATCTGAATTTTATCAGCATATTCACTGAACAGTACAATATTATCAAGGTATCCTATGTCAGAATGTTGGTCTCCTGATACACTAACACCAGAAAATTCAGACAATGAGGTGGAGATTAAGCAGGAAGCTAAAAAAACGTTTGCTCGAATTATTAATGTCTTGCCACAAAACAGTCAGATAGTTCTAAGAATATAGTAACCTTAATGAGCATGTGAAATTTGACTAGTCACTTCAGAGACAATTTGAGTTCGGCGTAAAGTTTCAGGTTTGTATCAGGCTACAAAGTTACTTGTAAAGTAAATGGCAAGTAGCCAGGGATGCAGCACATAAGTATAGCAAGAAGATACAGTGTGTATACTTCATCTACACGCATGTTTACTTGTGTAGGCAGACATAAGGGGAAACGGGTAATTGTTTACAATACTGGTTAGCTGTCTGCATCAATAGTTTCTTTCTGAACCGTTAGAATTCCAGTAGAAACTGAACGTTTAGATGATCGCGGTACAAACACAAGCAATAAGAGCGAGGCGGTGTTTTACTGATTAGGTCATCTGGTTTATAGTCGAGAATTTGATGCAAGGCTGAGTTTAAATATCTGTACTGAATAGCCGAATCACACTGTCACAAACCCCGAGAACAAAGTAAGTATGCAACTATAATGCAATCTCGAAGCTAAAAACAAACAACAACCAATATTGGCTAACTTTGGTGTAAACTCAACATATGTCATTGGTTCCTATTTCAAATGGATGGATTGATATCGACAGATGATCGCTTCAAACTTCATATACAATTCCAATCGAGTACCCTCTACAGATATCATAGTGTCCATTAATGAATACTAAAACATAAACGTGAAATGGGAATACCGATGTTGACTGGTTGGCCAATATATTAAACTGCAGAGGATCGCATCGAGCCAGAAGGTACTTTGTGTACAAAGGAAGCATCCAGGGAAGCGTAAGGACAGCAAAAGTGAAAAGACGAGTCAACGACCCATCATGGGCACAATGAATTTAGATGTACTACGGAAAGCAACAGACAACAATCAGATATGACACAAGCCTCAGATTAAGACAATCTAGGAATCGAAACAAGCAGATAGTTCAACCTACTAAAGTATTCATATATAAAAAGTTCTGCTCAGCTTTGTATTTTGACGCTAAAAATTTTTCGATTTATCCTGAATAAAAAAGTATAACCATGTTTATGCGAAGAATAAAATAATGAATAATAGGTCATCATACGCCGCGTGACGCAACATTCGGAAACCCGCTTCCCGATGCGTGTTAAATAAACGATCTTTAGGTAGGAGTAAACAAAATGAAAAGATCTACCGTCACCTAGTAATAGCTCATTATACGTAAATTCGATTGCGTTACTGGAAGAAAAAACTAAGGGTGTTTAGTCTATAGATGATTATTCATGGCTAAATAATTATGATCGCTTAGTAGTTTCTAACGTGCTATGACTCTTTACTTAGTTACCTGATAAAACGAATTCGTGAGATATCATGTTCTAAATGACCTATTAGTCTACTGGTGAAACCTTCCGACCTGAGATCACAGGACGGTACTAAAGATCTGATGCCGACTCTAAATAACATGTCGCAGTGGACAAGTAATAAGTTTATGGTAGCTCTTCGAAAACATACTCTATATATTGATGACCTTAAATGGAACATTTCTTGAATTATTGATGGTCAGTTTGAAAATCTTGCATTGATCAACTTCTGGCTATTATAAAATTTACTTTACCTCCGCCACTGACTTGTACTTTGTCCGTCATCAGGATTAGCGCTGTCAGGAACTTCGAAACTAGTGCTGTCTGATCCTGTTGTATGTAGCAGATCTTCATCTGTAATCCTATGGATAGATGTAAAAAAATATGTAAGACAAGGCATGTGACGAAAGTCTATATAATGTGTTTTATGAAATTCAGAATCAAACACATCGACATAGATTTTAAAAGTGAAACATAGCGAATGAAGTATACGGTACAGTGGAAGATAGCATTTGTGTAAACTAGGCCCACGAAGAAACGATCAAGGACACTTAGTCAAGACATAGTAAGATACTGGAATTTCTCAATATATGACTGGTGGCTTGTTCCGTTGGCCTTGATCTTCATCAGTTGCTGCTAGCCCTTTTTCGCCATTGACTAGGAATATTGTGGTTGTCCCTTACCCTGGCTAGATTATTGACCTTTTAGTTGTCCATAATTCTTCTAAATGGTTGATAAACTGGGTCAATTTAAGTCTGTTGCTTGGCCATTGACAAACCCCAATCCTTGAGTAACTTCCGATCGAACGTATATCTGTAGTAGTCTACGTTCATCCTTGTGAGCGATGACTTTCCTCGACTTCTGACAATAAGTTGATGTTCATGTAGAGGGAGAAGATAGCATTCACCATTTACAACGCGACGTTTCTCTTGGGTGCGGCAGTTTATTTTGTAAACCAGATCTGGTTTTTTTTACTTTCGCGACCTCTACTTGTGTTTTGTTTATGATTGAGATTGCCTTATCAGCAAGGTCAGTCCTCAAGAAATATTACCTGGAATCTGGTTTTAATATAGATTGTAATTATTTCTTACAGTGTCTTAATACGCTATAAATGAACAGCATCATTTCTAGCAACCAACGCTGAAACATAGGTATATTTGTGATTACTGACACCCAATTTTCTCTCTGCGCTCCCCAAAATAATTCTCAAACTAACGGACGACACGATGACTTGAACAAAGACAAACTTTGACTCTAAATCAATATTTTCAACATGCTGACGACATGTAATTTTTCGTGCCTGAAGCGCATGAAAAAGTTTTACTCCATGTTTGAATTTCTATGAGGTTCACTGAGATTCACAGCTGGACGTCAGTGACAAGCATTTCGGTGTACGGTACATTTCAAGGTGTGCGAGAAAGAGATATAGTTTGACTGAGGTTTAGTATGGTATTTCAGATTGATCATACTGCATTAATAATCACATAAAAAAGCTAAGTTGTCCTCTACCAAATGATTTCATGATTAACTGACGAACGGAGACATCATAGATAGCAACAGTAAAATAATCGAGAGATACTTTTTCTGCTTATTGTCCACTGACGTTCGTAGGTACAGGATCCACGGGAGATTAACAAGATGACTTAAAGTTAGGAATAAATTTCTCTCAGGTGTTCTTGGAACAACAGCTTCAATAACCTTTAGTTGATGAAGCGTTGTCGAAGTTCTGACTCAACTAGAGTTAATTATCTGATAATGACAACATGGAAAATTGTAGTTACATTAAGAGCCACATTTTTTGTTCAAGGAGGTCTCCATCTCAGTAAATCACGTTTCGCCCTTCATGCTAAGAATACGATCAATTACGTTTGAGCTATGTCAACATAGAGTATGTTCAAACCTCCCACATTTTCAATTGTATTAGTTTCGAAAATTTTCGCAATGTATATTCCTGATTATCAAAGAAAATAGCTACCACTGATTTCAGACTTACATGAAATCTCTGAACCAGCCGACTATGTCATTTCCTGTCTAGCATTTCTGAAGGATCATCAAATCAAAATTTGCATGCACTTCACATAAATTTATCTACATTTTTGAGGTGTACACATTTAATATGAGTTTACATGGAGTTTTTGACCCACCGGTCTGAAACGTCTAGTGAGTAAAACGAATTAGTAACGCAATATTGAAGCTTCGGTGGTTGAATCAGGGCTTAAATACATGTATAACAATTTCAAAGGTCTAAAATAAGCTCAATATAAGAGTTATAATATTTAAATTTTAATCAGCTTTACGCGAATTCAAAATAACACCGCAAAATCAATCAGGTTGATCATAGTGTTATGGATATGCGGCATATAATATAGTATGTAGTATATGTAGACAGTTGCTAGTTTTCTTAACTTCTTCGACCTCTCTAAGTCCACTTGTTACAGAAGAAGTGAAGACTTTTAACTGATTAAAAACTTATATTGAATATTAATAATGCCACTCTGTTTTTAGATGTATCTGTCTTATTCTACTTCTGAAGTTTTTCGTTTATATCTCTGACTTCAAACATTTTATTCGCTGTCTTTGGTTTTGTATTTACGACTATTGCTCCAGGAACCTTAAAAAAATGGAAGGATGATATTCAGGCCGATTGTTTGTAATTTGTGAATAATCTTTGATGCTTGAATTGGTGTTTGGTTTTGTTGTTATTTTCGGGTTCGTAAGTTACAAATAGATCGAGATACCGTGCTTTAATTACGGAAGAGAACAAAAATTGTATGTAACACTGCTGGTCTATGAAAAACAAAGAACTCTGGAAATCTGCGTGTTACTGACATTCTTAAGGTGGCCAAACATTTCGTAGTTTCACTGTTGTGGTAGCCAATGGAAATAAGGGTGTCACTGTCCTCTCGTTTACTATCCTACCTTTTTATCTGTTAGCTATATTCACTATTGTATCGACTCACAAAATCTTGAGACCCGTTGACTTTTTAAAACTCTTTCCAATCCGGATTTATTTTAATACAAAGTAGATCGGGCTAGTCAAATCAGTTCTGTATTTATTTCATCGCAATACAACTGCTGAATATTCTGTTGACAGTTTTATTTCTAAATATGAGTATATTTCTTCATCCATTAATTAAAGTCAGTTTTTAAAAGTTGAAGTAACAATTCTGTGCTAATACACACTGACCTAGATTATAATTAGCCTTGCTATACTAGTGTAATGACATGAGGGTGGTAGCTCGTTCGCCATTTCCAGTGCGTTGTAAGCGCACCTCCAAACAGAAGTTAGTATGATTAATTACAGAGGTGGATTTAAAACCCCCTCACGTGTAACTGTACTTATGATTATCTTACACGACCGCCCGACTTCGTGAGTCACAGCCTCAACTCTACGGCTAGCCATCACGCGGCACGAGATTATGGTTGACTTTTATGGGGTGACCTACAAACTCTAACCTGAATTCCATCACTGTATGCAAACGAACACAAACCATTGTTGCATGCAGAGTTGTAGTCGTTTATAGTCAGCTTATGATACCCATATGTTTTTATGTATTTTGCTGTTTATTTACCTGTACTAGCCATAGCATTAACAACTTATTATTATTTTCTGAGTTTCATAATGAGAACAGCCATTTCTGACGAAAACAGATCAACAACTATATTCGAAAATATGGAGGATTAATAGAAATTGTCAGACGACTGGTTGCAACAACCTAAGGCTCACTAAAAGACTTCTTCAAACCAACATGAGAATGTGTTAAACTAGTTTCATACCCACGATTTATCCAGTAACAGCTCTTCATGTCGTTATGCATCAATAAAACAAGTATGTTAAGAAGACAGCTACCAAATGGCATGGTTCATACGAAAAATGAAGCTACATGATTTTGCTGAGAGCTCTCTTTCCATCGAAACCACTTTATTGGCCTCGGACAACTTGATAATTTCAATCATAAAGTACCTGTAATTGGCCGTTTTTGATCATACTAAAGTATTTGACCCAGAATCTAAAGCCGTTTTGCTCTTGAAGCCATCAACTGTGTTTTCTTCACTGAATCTGTTCCTGAAAGGCTAAGGGCTTTTAACAAGTCCCAACAAACCGCATTTCGGAATTCTCAGATGTACTGATCGTCTCGTAAAGCTATGTTTGATCCTTTATTATTCCTTCTACTCAGTTCGACAGAGTTGGGAAAAAGCTTTTTGCGGCACTAAAATTCATCTGAGAACGGTCTATATTTTCGTTAGTCATCACCTCCACAACTCATCAACTAACTTGGCTACATCATCCTTCGGAAAATCATTCAACTAGTAATAAATATTGTTCAAGATGTGCGCCAAAATGCCCACGATATCTTTTTTGAGCTTATAATAGAAATCTGCTTACACTCATTGTCAACTTGTTTCTCATTTTGGTTGGGATAATTAGAAACCACCAGCATTGCTGAACTCATTTCGACTAGGTTGAGATACCAAAAACAAATCCATAGACTTATTATAAGCAAAGGAAGATTTATCTTATCGTCCGAAACTAATGTAATTAGGGTGTGGAAAAACGAGAGGATTTGCAGTGCTATAAGAAAGGAGAATATGGGATTAAAAGTAAGAAATGATGCTGGTTATTCCATTGCCTGCAGATCATCAAGACATGTTTGGAAGAAAAAACTAAGGGTGTTTAGTCTATAGATGATTATTCATGGCTAAATAATTATGATCGCTTAGTAGTTTCTAACGTGCTATGACTCTTTACTTAGTTACCTGATAAAACGAATTCGTGAGATATCA